TATGACCTTTCATCCTTAACCTGTATATTTTTACCTACGCACTCTATTATTATTCGGCCCACACTAATACGACTTTCTCCATATGAGCCTGCCCTAAAGTCTCGTTTCCCTAATCTCCTACTCCGACTCCTGAGACCTTACGATCAAGGATCGCAGACCCAACTTTCTGTTCATATCACCTCGCAAACGCCGTTGTCTTTTCCATTTCTCATCAGTAATAACCTTTCACTTCCCCTCCCCAAGTTTGCTTATCCACGTTCTCTTTTTGCATTCCTTCTTCAACTCTACAGATAATTCGTCGGGTCCGGCCTTAAGCAAATCAAGGCTGACCAGTCTCCTGCTTTCTGACTGCTTCCAGACATCCGAGGTGTAACCGAGGAAGGCTCCTAAGACCAAACCCGCGGTGCCCATCATCCTGCGTGCGTGGCACGACTTGTTGACCGCCTACTTATATAGCCACTTTCTTCCCGAACTTCCCTTTCTGCTAGCATTCAATACTTTTATACCCACCTTAATTTGGCGGCCTATCCACAGCGCGCCGACTTAGTTTGTTTCACCGGGAGTGTCTTCTGCTTTCTGACCTCTCTCAGAATTCTGGGATCTAAATGACCTAAGCTCTGCCTACCCAATGCTCTGTAACCACCAACCTCAATGGCGTTGACGGTCATGACTCATTCTTATTATTATATCCGCTGTCATCTTATTGTTGTCCATTGTTACCGACGCTCTCCGTTAATAGTCTGATCTTACTAATACGGCTTTCTCGCTATGGACCGAAATTAAATTCTCGTCTCAACGGTCTCCTCCTTTCCAGCTACTGTGACCGTACTGATGAATGTTCGGCAGACACAACGATCCCTTCAGCTCATCATGAGAACGTCGTTCGCTATTCCACTTCTCCTCAAAAAGGTCCTACTTTCCCGACCCTGTGCTAATTTTTCTGCACTCACCGTTTGCATTCCTTCTTTTACTCCACAGCTAACTCCTTGCGCCCAGCCCTAATCCAGCCTTGTTTGACAAGTCTCCTGTCTTTTGACTGCTTTCAGGCATCCAAAACGTAAACCTTCTGGGCTCTGCAGACCCAACCTCCTGTGCCCCTCATCCTGAGAGCCTTGCTCGACCTGTTGTTCACCTATTCATATTGCTACTTATACATAGTAAATGTTCCTATTCTGATGGCGCAAACTACTCTTATTCCCGCTTAATTCGGCTGCCTAGCCTCAACGCGCTGGCTTACATGCTCTCGTCTGAACGGTTTCCTGCTTCCTGACTTCGGAGGTCCAAATCATCTAGGCTTCGCTAACCCGACGCTGCGTAATTCTTACCAGTAGAGCCTTTTCATTATCGACCCTAATCGCCGCGTTCCGTGTGCTTTGTTTGTATTCCTTCTTAGGTTTTCGTTCACGTACTAGAGTCCGTCTGCCCTAACATCTTGCAATCCGCCAATTAAGGAATGAGGCAACGGAACCCTATCACCCCATCTAAGTTGCAGTCCTTTTTCCATATTCAGCACATCACGTCCGCCTCCCACTGGTGTCCTAGAGTTTGGACACCTGCGCTTTCGGTATCCTCAAACACTCTTTGCACCACTTCTTCATCACTAACTTAAAACACTTCTATTCTCTACTGATCCGTGGGCTGCTAGCTCCTTGTCGTATTACGTCACTTTTATGGTGCGCAAGTAACTGAAAAATTGAGATATCTAAATAAACCTTTTATCCTTGACAACACGAGTCACACCTTTACATGCATACTCATGTTAAAATACTATAGTTGGTAATAATTTACAAAAGCATATCTAATATAAGCGTGAAAGTATGTGTGTAGGTGTATTTACGTTTGTAATTATTATGTATGTAACCGTGTAGCTTGTGCTTGTAATTGTGTCGCTGGCTTTTGGCTGTTTGATATCAGCAGACATGTGAGAGTAAACGAGTGATGTCCACGGGTTGGATAGAGTTACCTGGATATCCAGGAATTGATGACTTTAGTGTGTGGCGAGTCACAACCGTTACGTCACCGTTTTTTAGTCGGACAGATGTGGCTTTATAGCTAGAGAACGCTTGCCAGGAGAAAACACAGCACGTCCTGAAACACTGCCGACGAACTATTTGCTGGAGCGAGGTAAACCCGAACCACCCAGCTGGCAAAACACGGATGTTGTTCCACTAGCCAAATGACAAACAACTGGTACGATAGTCCAATCACTGTTGAAATTGAGCATTGGCACGATTGCACTCCGGACGCATTTCTTTCGTCGGTTTGTGGCTGTATTTTTTCCGTTGTCCATTTCCCGAGATTGTCAAGGATACAGCGCCATACACCCGAGTATTCGTTCATGTCTGCGACAATAAGACAATGCGAGGCACAAAATTCCTTTACCTGGATATGACTGGAAAATTATCCATTATCCTTGCAACTTACGGATCGAACAAATTATCCGTTACCTTGCAATGATACAAACTTCCGGGGTCTAAGCAGTTGGGTTCAGTTCGCCTAACAATATCTCTAACACGTACTTATTACCAGGAACTCTCCTGTTTACTTGGGATTGCAGATTCTTCTGCCGATTAAATGTGTTTCTCGCTTGAACAAATCCCGATTCATTGTTGACGTTAACTAATGACAGAACAATTGGTTTGGCTTTTCTTCACTGCTGGATAATTTCTTTTACTTGCCAATCACTCGGAGCTCTTCACAACGCTTTTATCTTTTAATTGGCCTTGGCTGCTTATGTTTTCAAATCATTTTACAACTTCTTTCTGGAGGACCACGATGTACTTTATGGGACACTGTCCTATGCTTATGAGCATCAACAAAACTTCAACATACTTCGTTGGATATCCCTCAGAGACTTCACGTGATTCTGAAGACGCTTAACCCATCCAATTAAAAGTATTCAGTTCATGACCTACAAATCGACCTTAGCCATTCGCTCACGTCAGTAACCGGGAACGAAATAAGCCCTCGCCTATAGCATCAGCCGACGAAAACTGGGAAGCAACTTGATTGCTAATAACCGAGCAAATATAAGCTTAACAAGTAGCATAGCCAGTTACAAGGTGCTTTTCAATGGATCGGCTGCAGCATTCCAGGAAGCAGTGGATTTTCGACTTGCAATTGTCATTTCTAAAAAAGCCACAAATTTCCGTTCAACACCCTGCGACGTGGAGGATGTGACTCGGCACCGAATAAAGCCACAGCGCATGACTTCACACTGGCAAGTCAACAAACGTCACAATTCACTCTTTGAAATGTTCGTTACACTAGCACTTCTACATCTACATATACCGTCGCATCTTCATTTTACAATTTTACGCATGTAGGCGTCTCTTTGCTTTTTACGACTTCACCTTTGATCATTACGTTTCTTGCACACGAACACAGCATTTCTACCCGTTTCTCTTGATCTTGCCCTCCAATTAACTAATCGATCTTGTAGGCTTGTTGGTCTATTATTGGCTGTTATATGACTGTAATATATGGCAGACTGATTAAGTTCATACCAACTGAACCCGATCTTACGACAGCTCAAGTATCCTTCTTACGTTTGCATCATTGTACAGTTCCAATCATGAAAGTTTGAACAGTTTACTGCTGTCGCTGTTATGCAACTGCCGCGAAATCAATAGACATATTTGTATTCCGTTCCGAATTTTTCTGGAAACTTCTTTTGTATGGGCAAATACGGGGCGCACTGGAACAATAACCTAACGTTGTCCATTTATTCTACAGTTTAGCAATGTTTGTGGCATTGACTAATGATCAGCAAGCTGTGTGCGGATGCTTATTTATAGAGTACTTACGAGATCACAACGCAATCGTGGCTTGTCGAAGCACGCGTGGAGTACTAGACACGGGTGCTCCAAGTTACGGTACAGTGGCATTTTAGTTCTACTTATTCACAATAGTCTACTACGATTTTTCCGACATCGGAGGTCAAGGGTGTATTCCGGTGGCCGTTTACAGCATTATCCAGGACTCTCCAAGTGGATCCCAATCAAACTATGCTTGAAGTCTCCACACACCTTGGCCTTCCTAAAACCACCGCTTATGGCCATATGCGTCTATCCGGAATGCTGTCATGGCTCGGACAACTTGTGCGATACGAATTGACTGAAGAGCAGTTATTGAACTGTTTTTCCATTGCATTTTCATTGCTCACACGGGGACGCATTCCTCGATGTCCTAGCGATATCGTTACTTGAGATGAGAAATGAGTGCTCCAGGTCAACCATAGTAGGAAGCTTCAGTGGGTGGCATCTGCTGAACCAACAACACCAGACACGAAAGGCCAACTACCTGGAAAAAGGGTGTTGCTGTCGGTCTGGTGGGATTGCCGCGGCGTCATCTATTAGGAGTGCTACCTGACAAACTCATTGTCACTGCTGATGGCTGCTGTCGGCAACTGCAAAAGGTGGCCGAGAAACATCGAAAAAGCGTACAAAAGCTACCCGAATCTTTTTCCTGCATGTGTACACACGTCCTAATAGGGAAAACATAATGCCTCTCTAAATTCAGCACCTCGGTATGGAAATTTATGCATCCAGCACATTGCCCGGTTCTTGCATCTATTGATTACTACATTTTTCACTCGCTCCAAAATCTACTGAAGGACATGAGGTTATAGTATCTCAGTCATGTCGAAACACACTTTGTCCAATACTATGACAGCTATTCCAGCTGGTTCTACGACAGAGGCGCCAATAACTTACCTGATTGTTGGCCGTACGTCGTGGATAAAAATGGATGGTATTTTTAATCAAATAGTGTTGCTTGTTTGAAATAAATATTGATTGAAAAGACGTGCTGAAACTTCCATCGATTTCAGGACATTTGTCACAAAATGTCTTCGCGGTTGCGCCTGCCTGATCATGCCTCAATGGGCGTGCCTTGCATAGTCACAGATATTTATTTATTTATTTAGAAGGCGTGCTATGGACGTCAGTCATGTATGACCTAAGTTACTGTGTGATACCTCGCGATAAGATTTTGTACTAATGGCATCCGCCGCTTCTGCAACTGTTACAGCACATGACGTAGAAAGCCGTTTACCATCTTTAGCTGTTGGTGCTTCTCTGCTAGAAGGCCCAGAAACTGCAAACTCAAGTGTTTCACTTGCACGCGCTATCGGCAGTGCAATAGGTAGAATTGACGATTTGCTGCGTCCACGTATGTCAGGTTAGTCGTGGCATGCCGTGCTGGCTCGTTCCCTCCTCTCGGCGGACCTGCTGACCACTTCCCAAATAGGTACACGTGGCGGCGTCCATATGCCTGTGTTTTTCCGTAGATCCACTACCTCTACCTACTGCGCTGTAAGACATGAGGGACTGCGCCTGGAATGCAGATGCGGTGGTATATGTGTGGTAAACCTAGGAGGCGCGCTTAGAGGTGTACCCATTAGAATAGTGCCACCTGTCTCCTCCGAGTGTGCCCTGTCAGCCAAGGCACGTACAAGGTCTCATGCACAATATTATTTGTCTGCGACACAATACTATATACAGGTACTTACCCGAATGGTAAAACCATTCAACATCCTGCTCTACTTCACTTAGTGTAGGAAAGTTGTGGGTTCAGACTGTTTGAAAAAAGACTAGTCGGTGCCTTGTGGATTAATGCCGTTCTTCCACCCGGTTGCAGCCAGGTGTCGCTGCTGCCTAGCGAATCCGACTCCGCTCTTGATTTCAGCTTAAAGAGGAAGTAAAAGCGCCGGGAGCTGGCCTCTGCAAAAACTATCAGCCAATGCAAATCTGGCACCGAATAACATAGCTTCTGCAGTAATCTCATGCATCATCTGCGTAGGGCGCTTAACTAGTCTACGAAAGCAGCAGACCCTTGAAAAAGCCTCCATACTCAATGTTATGTCGAACTGTGAAAAGTGTGCGACAATGGCGTAATCACCTTCCTTGCGCCCACACGCGTAAACCTGCATTTTCAACTGTTGCCCGTGTGCTAAAACCAATGAGCTTAGGAAGCAGGTCAAAAGCAACTTAAATGCCTGGTCCTGCTGATTGAATGCTACGACGGTACAGACCACACAACTCCCTGTAACCTTGACTCACAATGGAGTACCATGCTCACTGCTTTGCTGCACTGACTTTAACACATAAAGGTGCTTCTTGCTTACCAGAACATTATCCGTACTACCTGCTGGCTGTCGCACGCTACCAATTAAAAAGGTACGTTACTGTTTGCACGTGCTGAAGCGAAATTCATCGGGACCTCTATTATTGCCTTCATGATGAAATTTTTTAGCCGTTAGTGCGCCTGGATATACATGTTGAGTATTTCACCACCTTGCGTTTTATAAATAAATGAAAATATTTACGTCCGACCAAGCTTGGCACGCTTATTCAGCATGCAAGTTTAGCCTTCTAAACGTTCATTTGTTTTACATCCGGCACTTACGTTTCCACAACATGCCTCGATGAGTTCTGTGCTTCATCTTCCCTTGCTCTTGTTCATTAGCTTTCTGGTTTTGTAACCTGCATAATACACGTTTGTAGTAATTGCCTACAACTACTATACTGTTCCTATTTGCCACGTTGCTTTGCTGTCATTGTTAACCAACTAATATCTTAGGAGTTGGTCAAAATTGATTACCCAGGTTAAGAATACATCGCCCGCCATTTGGGGTTTTCGTTCTCATGAGCTGGTTCCAGTGACTTTGTGATTGAGTTCTTGTGATCATTTTGCTTTCTCACCTACCACAACTATTATTGGCTTTCTGTAATGATTTAGCCAGAAGATAAGCCATCACCATACATCGTTTGGACCGTAACGTTAACAGCTTTACCTTTTTGCGAGAGTGATCCCACGTTATTGTGTTTGCACCTATGATCCATTTATGTACATTCTAGAATTCCTCGAAATGCTGTCATGTTGAAACCGCTAATATCACGCCTTCCTCTGCGTATACCATCGTAAGTGAAAGAATGTGAAAAACTTTCTCATGTCTGTACCGGTGAGTGTCGTTTCCTCAAGAATAAAGGTATTTAATTATTTATCCGTCATACTTTTTCCCTCTAATAATAAAGTAGGAGACTTAACCAGGCTATGATACAACGAAACGCTCCTTCTGACAAGGTCCGTTTGCAGCAACTGGTTAGTGATCTGCAACTCGAAGATAGGAGGCCCCCAGACGTTTTGCGCGAACTGCAACAGCTCTTTGCAAAGTCCAACCTGGACGTAGGGATTCGCCGCGAGCTGTAAATATAACGCTTCCATGAAGATACTCAGTGCATGCAACGTTGCAGTTGGGAAACTCTCTGTGTGTTTGGTATGCAACACGCAACCCCTTTTGAGACAGTTCTATTATAAGTACACCTGATAATTCCGAGCGCGAGGACGGTATCCGAAATAGAAATCTCTCGGTGTTGCTTTTCCCGGTGCCGGGATTGGAAGAAGTAGCGTCCAAATATTTCCGTCTACTCAGGGCGTCCTTGCAACAGCAAGTGACCTGTTACGCATAGCAATTTGAAATCTAGCAGGCCGCGTCATCTGCACCAACCCGTGACTGAACCCCGAGCACTTACGCAGTTCAGCGCTGGGGCATCCATAGCGACACCCGCAACTCGCCAGCCGTCGGCAATAGAAGCTTGCTCATCGCAGATGGCGTCGCTTCCGTGACAAATCGAGAAGCTTAGTTGAAACCGTAAGCACCGCTGTCACTCTGAAGCATTACCCCGTCGCACAAAACTTAGCCACAGATCACCGTATTTTTTAATCGCGTTTCGTTAATAAAGCCCGTAAGCGCATACAGCTATGCAGCTACTCACTTGGCTAACCGCACAACATCTAAGTGGCGCCAGCTGGGTGGTTCGGGTTAATCACCATCCAGCGAAAAGTTCGGCTGCAGGGTTACAGGACGTGGTGGGTTTCCGCCTAGCCAGCGTCCTCCCTACAAAGTACCACAAAGTCCGTTTACCAACACTGCGACGTATCGAATGATTTTCCACTAAATACAGTCACTGCCTCTTCCCCGTACGAAGGACGCTCACTTCACGAAGGTCGTTCAGTTAAAAGAGCATCTTTGATCATTTTCTACGATGGCGAACACAGCAAACGGACACACGAATTCAGTATTAATTCTCAAGTTTGCTCAAAATGCCCAATAACACACACTTACATACATATAAACACGCAACTCCAGTATGTTGCTGGCTAACTAGCTCCTTTATTACCATATCCAAACACACCAATTTGTATTATCATTAGCATGTCTTCGCGGGCATGCCCCGCACTGTCCGTAATAAAACATTTATTCATCTATTATCCGGCTCACCTGTCTGTTAGGACCACGAACGATCTCGGCAAACTCAAAGCCGTCTCATCTAAGTTAAGGATTACGGTTCGGAGACCCAGTTCTTACCAAAGCGAATTGCAGCGTCATTATTCTTATTCCAGGTAGGCCTATAACTTCTTTATCGACCAGCCTAGGTTCCGCCAATGGTACGGCAATAGCCACTTACTGTCATCGGTCGTTTAACCTGGACCAAAGACTTCGTCGCACGTTCTGCTAGGTCTTCACCGTTACTGCCGTCCACATTGCCACTATCGGCGTTGGCTTTCTCAGGCACTTCGAGCTGTTGGTCAATTTGAAATTCCAGGTGATATTCGACCATGCAAGGAAACGCAATGTACGCGGCAACAGCGCCGATATCGTATTTACCACCCTGGTCCACGCCGTTCTCTAGAGCTCGCCAGACTAGGCCAACCTCCTCTTCCAATACTCGAAGCTAGTTTAGTCCCTGAAAGCAGCTTTGCCCGTGGCACCACAAAGCACGCACCACATTTATACGAATAGCCCACCTTGTCATGCCGTTCACGCCGGCTATCACTCGATACAGTTAAGGTGGCTTAAGCGACGTTCGAGCACACGCTCGAATACGGAATACACTGCTCTGCTGACAGTCTTTCGTCCTCTCCAAGCTGTTGCACCTTTATAAAGCTGGTGACTGGCGGCCCTGCAGTGCCTACCGCGCAATCAGTTGCCTAACTGGCCCGACTTGGTATCCCACCCTGCACATGCAGGAACTCACGGCAGCCTCACAGGTAAGACGATCTTCAAATAGATTGATCTGGTTCGTGCCTATCACCAGATACCTGTAGAAGAAACTGACATACCTAAAACAGCCGCCGTCAATTCTTTTGATTTGGTTGGATTTCTGCGTGCATTTCGGACGGTATAAAGCTGCACGAACCTTCCAAGGCCACATCCAGGATGTCACTCGTGGGGTGGACTACGTTTATTCCTACCACGATGATATCTTAGTTGCCAGTTCCACAGACGAAAGGCACTTCGGCCACCTCCGAGTTTTCGTTCAGCGCTTGACCCGACTGGGTCACAATCAAACAGACTTTGCGTACAGCTAGTTAGCAGTAGAATTCCAAGGTTACCATGTTTCATCGTCTAGTATCGAAGCTTTTCCTTATATGGTGTAAGCAATTAAGGACTTCCCAGTTGCAACCACCCTTAAGCACCGGTGTCGATCTTGTAGGTAATTTAACTACTATCGACGCTACATCACGCGCTCAGGGATCTACTGACGGACCTACGCAGAGGGTAGGAACGAAGGTTTACTTTCCTGGACACAACACAGACGGCCTCCACCGAGGCCAACGGTGCTATCTCCAACCTACCTCACCTCGCTCATTCCTAATCGACTGCACTTCATTCAAGTAAGACTGACGCCTCAGTCGTCGCTGTAGGAGCCGTCCTCCAAAAATAGGTTAGTGCACAACGAAAACCCATTGGGTTCTTCTCGAAACATCTGCGGCCAACGCAATCCCCCACAGCCCTTTTGACAGAGAACTGCTCGCCACTATCTAGCCTTTTGTCACTTCCGACACACACTCAATGGCCACGTCTATAGGATCTGAATTGACCATAAGCCCCATCCTTGCCTTCAACTGTGCCTCTGACAAATGCTCACTCCGGGAAACAAGACACCTGCATTTTTACGCAGTCCATCGCTGACATACTTCATGTTTCAAGTCTAGGCAATTAAGTCGCCGACGCTCTCTCATGCGGAAACCTCACCCTCTAGTCGTTGCCTGCCGTCGACATTGCCTCCGTGTCACCGGCGCAGGCTCAAGATGAATACACGCAACGCACACTGCAGTCCACTTTGCTGTGTTTGCAACCTCTTCCTACCCAACTCAAGGAAGGAACCATCCTC